GTAATAAATTATTACGTACACAAATACATAAACACGGTGGAATGGTAAAGATCTAAGTGAAACCTTTAGAAAACTTACGCACTTTGATCACATAAAACAGTATGTACACAACAGGTCAATACAAGATTGGTACGAAAAGAGTTATTCTAAAAATGTCAACCAATTTAACACACTGTTCCTTCTATAGCTGGCTATCAAATCTTATGTGGTGTGCCTGTGTCTCTTATTACACACGTGAATTAGAATAATACTATGTCACACACTTGAGTATTTGGCTTAAAAGCAAGTAATTAAAGATACAGGCCTCCACAATGAAGAGAGACAAGCTAGGTTCAATTTGGGATAAATGGGCCCTCTTCCTTACAAGGTGATTTATCTTAACAAAATCAGAAGTGATTTATCTACACAACGATTTTTTTGTCTATCATTATTTGATATGAATTTAGGTATTTTATTACATTGGGAAGGGCACTTGATTGCGATAGTATTCCATTAATTTATAAAAGAGTTACTTTAGCAGGAATTAGTTTGCTATTGTCATTCCCAGCCCTAAGCGCATTCTGCGAAAATGACTGTTTATCAAAAGATATACTCAGGGAAAGCGTATTGCATTCGCAACTCAAGAAGAGGCATGAAAGGCCAATCTGTCTTCCTGCCTTGACTTTCCATTCCCTATCCTCTATTTTTCTAAATTTTCCTCTTATTGTGATCCAGATAGATATCAGCACGATAGACTAGGTCAGTGTGGCATCAGTACTTCTACTTAAAGTAGAGAAAAGTCCGCCTCTATAAAAATGGCTTAAATCGAAGACCTTTTAGTTATTTATTAACAAAACTATTAAGTACAGATCTGCTATCCTTACGAAGTTCGCCGCTGACAATGTTTAAAAGCCTAGAAATAGGCGTTGCCATTTTACAGTGTTATTTTATCAGACAAACTCTTTGGAAGTCTTCTAAAAAGTTGCTAGCTCAAATACTTCTTCGTATGTTCATTGTTTCACAATTTTATTGTCTACTTGCTTTTTTCCCTAATTTAAAAATAATTCAGCTAGGAATGTAAAGTTCCACGATAAAAACTCTATTTACTCTGTTTAGCAATCAATTAAGAAATTATTGGACTAGAATCAGTTCACTCTCCTAGAAATAGGAGATGACTCGATAGATAAATTAAATTAGACGCGAAGTGATTGCAAAGTGTGTATTGCAGAAGGTCACAACAAACTAACAAAGAAACAAATCTTCAAGCTTTGACTGCCTGAAAACGCACCCTTTGAAATACACAACACATTCGCCCTGGGTAACGAACACATCAGTCCTAATAAGTGACTAGATTGAAGGAACGCGACAACATCTAATACAGACGTACTACTAAAATGAATGCTACTTTAACAGTCGTACAGCCAACTTGACGATTCTTGTTCAGTGTGGCCCCTTTGGGAAACGCTTTAAAATCTTCCCCCGCGTGTGACACATGACACCCGCACTCACTCACACTCACTCATGCACGCACACACTCGCGTCACACTCGATGACTAGGCTGGTAAGGTGGGCTGGCTCCCGCAGCCCGCTACTCCTCTGGCTTCGCAATGACACTGAGAAGTCGAGACCGGAGAGGAAGGACGCACCGCCGTGGGCCTGGCGTCCGCCTCCCCGCCCCCGCTCGCCTCACATGAAGGCCAAGTGCTGCTCGTCGGAGTAGCCGGCGTCGTGTCACAAGTCGTGTTGCAGCGGGTCTCCCTGCAGGTCCTGGTCGTGCAGGTCGGCGTTCAGGTCCGACTGGAGGCCGCTGAGCGAGCCGCCGTCCGACAGCACCGAGCCCATGTTGGAGCCGTCGTCGTCGTGGAAGTGCATCTGGTGGTGCATGTCCTTGTCGGGCGAGTCCTCCCGCCACTTGTCCATGGAGCGGCGCCGCGCATTCATGAAGAAGTTGCCGACCGTGGTAGGCTCGAGACCGAGTTGGCGCGCGATGGTCACCTGGAAGACAAAAAGAAGATGGCCGATTAGTTACGCCCCATCACATGCAAGAGAACAATAATGAGGTATTAGCACCGACTGTTTACCTGCATCTCCTTGGACGGCCGCTTGGTCTCCTTGAAGATGGCCTGCAGCGTCCTCCTCTGGAGGTCGGTGAAGACGAGACGGGGCTTCTTGTGCACGGTGGACTCGGAGTCGCTGTCGGGGTCCTCGCCGGGCCGGCGCTTGGGGCGCTGCTGCTGGGGCACCTGTGCGGCGGCGAGCCTCAGCGCGGACATGCGCTGCAGCTCTGGCTCCTGCAGCCACTTCCACATGCGGCGGAACGTCTCCCGGCCCGACTTGAGCTTCGACCAGGGCTTGGGGTTGCGCAGCAGGTCGCTGAGCGTGCCCTGCGACCGGCACAGCACGCGCTGCGCAAAAATGGCCTGCGGGATGGAGTAGCGCTTGAGCTCGGCGGAGATGCGCTGCGCCAGCTCCTTGGTGTTGATCTCCTCCATGTCGGGCGGCAGCGGCGACAGCGCGCCCCCCGACAGGCTGCTGCTGCCGGGGCTGACGGCGGCCGCCGGCTGCGTCACCACCTTGGTGATGGTGGGCACGGACGTGACGTGGCGTACCACGACCGGCGTCTGCTGCGGCACGATGGTGGGCACCGACGTGACGTGCGTCGTCATGGGCAGCAAGGTGGGCGGCGAGCTCACCACGACCAGGGCGTCGCAGTGCGAGGACGTCAACGAGTTTGTGCTCACGCTGATGGGGAGCGTGGCCACCTGCAGTGCCGGCGGCCCCGGGTACACGATGACGTTGCTGTCTGCGCTCAAGCCCGCCGTCGGCTCGTCGAGGCCCGCGTCCGCGGCGTACTCGGCCGCGTCGTAATCCGTGGGCGACAGCGAGTGGTGCGGCGAACCGAGGCCGCCGTTCTGGCTGTACGAGCTGGTGGGCGTGAGGGGAGCCTCCATGCCGCCCGGGTCGTCGTGCGGGATCTCGATGGACACGAGGTCGGTGCCGGGCGACGACTCGTAGTGGTGCGGCGGCGACATACTCAGCGATGACATCTTGTCGTAGCCGTATGGCGAGCCGAGCACGGTGAAGGAACCCATGTGCGTGTAGGAGGTGAACTTGTCGGCCGAAATGGTGGATATGGGTGGCAGTGGCTGCAGCGGCGTAAGCGTGGCGTACGACGAGGACGTCGGGCTATACCGCGACGGAGACAGGTTCATGGAGGTCAGCGTCTGATACGTCGGCTCCTGGTCCAGCATGGAGCCCGGTGACCCGGGCGACTGCGAGTTGGGGCTCAGGAACTGCGAGTCATCGTCATGCGAGTTGTCGTCCGGGTTGGGCACGATCACCGACAGGTCCTGCTTGATGTGGTGATGGTGGTGGTGCTGCTCCAGGTCGCCGTCGACGGACATGGCGTCCTCCTCCCCCGCCGACCCCTCGTCCTCCTCCTCGTCCTTGAGGGACGACAGGTCGTGGCCCCCTAGGGGGCCTCCGAGGCCCCGGTGCGCCCCGGCGGACCTCACCGACGGCGACATTATGTTGCTGGTGATGACGTGCGTGTGCGGCCCGTCACCCGTAGCCATCAGCCCCATCACCTGCAACAGAGGCACGCGCGAGTTATGTTACCGTTGAATTGATAAGATGAACCTGTCTAAGCTCGCGCTCGCCTGATTTCCGGCGACACCCGGAAGCTTCCAGGGCGGTCGGGTCCACACACCGGCCTTTGCACCAAACACCCCGAGGGTCCATCGGGGCGGGTTTTAAAATGTTGAATTAGGTCGAGGGGTGTAGCGAGGCGAGCGGGGGCTGGCGAGAGGGGTAGTGTAGCGAATTGTGGGAGACAAGCAGGTGGGGGTGGGGACGCGAGACAGCCGTAG